AACCTGCCATCTTTGAATGAAGCATCTATAAATTTCTATAACCGGATTGATGGGCAGCAAGAACAAAGTCACCGCCCAGTAAAATTACTTCATGGACTTGGCAATGCAAAGTTTCTTAAACTGTCAAATGAAGCCCTTGAAGTAATGAATTTCCTTTCTTGGATACAGTTGGCAATAGGAGAACATATTTTTTTCTAATTATTATTCATCCTTACTACAAATAACTGCTTTTTTGTTTGTTTGTTTGTATTTTTTTTTTTTTTTGCGATGCAGTCTCTCTTCTTTGTAAAGTATTGAAGGGCATCTTCCTACATTTTATAATTGGACTATGTTGAATGCATCTGTGAATGGTCCTTATTTCAATAATGATTACACTAATGGTGCATTGATGTATATGCTTCAAAAATCACCAAATCTTGAATTTCTCATCCTTACAAGGGTATGTTTGGGGAATGGATATTTAGTTATTATGTTTTGTATTGCTGCATTTTTACTTGCCTAAGCGAGTAGAGTCTTTTTATGCTAAGATTGATTAGCTTTGATGTTAAATGGTTTTCTGATACACATTCAGGGATTCAACCTAGAAGACCAAGGCATGATAATGGACACTATACCTGGTTGTTTTCAGTCTAGCCTTAAGTCTGTTCGAATCTTTAATGCTGGTGGTGATGAAGAAAAATTAAGTTTCTTAAAATATTTTTACGAGAATGCACCTGTTTTGGAGTGGTTATATGTCAGTTGCTCGCCGGAATTATCAGAAGATTCAGAGAAACAAGAAGAGATCATCAACGATTTGCAACAACTTCGTGGAGGTTCAGGCTGTTGTACAATCGTGTTTGATCCCTACGTTCCCTAAAAACTTGGCATTGTGAAAGCCTTCACTATCAAGGTCCGTGCTTAACTCAGAACTAGCATAAATTTCAGCTCTTTTGTCAAATTGGAACTAGAAAATATACTTAATTTTGTGTGTTATGACCTCTAACAGGTAGCATGTATCCTTTTGAAGTTTTGAGTCTAATGTGAAGGACCTTGAGGTCCCATATGATGCCACTAATGTATATATTGATCGTGGTAATTAGTACTAATATCAGTTAATATCTCAAGCTCTCTGACATGATAATTCGTATTGATGTCAGGGTAAATTACACGTTTATATATTCAATTTTAGTGGAGTTTTTATTTTGGTCATCCAAGTATGAAAAATGAAGATTTGATTACTCAAGTTTATATTTGATACATGACAAAAAAAAAAAAAGTTGCAACTCGTCGTTTTATCAAAGGTTTTTTGGAGTCTGGTTTATAAATTTTGATTGAGTTGAGAAATTGGCTGATAGTGGATAGTATTAAATGAGTCAATGGTAGTATATGGATTGTAAAAGGTTTTTAAATTGTTGTGAGACAATGACTTATAATTCATTGTCTCAATGCATATATATATATTTATTTGAAATTATAAGAAATTAAATTGTCATTAAAATTAAAAATTTAATATTTTTACAACAATTAAGAGTTCATACTTTATCCCATATAAAAGGTTTTAAAATTGTTATGAGATAATGAATTATAATTCATTTACAATGCATATAAATTTATACACCTTTAAATCTGTTATTGAAAAAAGTGTTGAAAACATATGTTGTACTTGCTTATTAAAAAAAAAAAAAAACCTTGTATGTTGTATTTATCTTTTGTTTCATTTGAGAAATATTCTGTTATGTTTATCTTTTGTCATTATTATTATTACAAGGAGATTAACCGCGTGTTGTCAGTAGGATTCAGTATCAAATATATGATGAAACTATATTTTATAAAAATTTTATATTAATTAACATATTATAATCATGCAAACATATAAATAATAAAACTTAGCAATTTTTTAGCTTAAGAAACATAAAAATCTTAGCCAATTTAATCAATAATTTTATTTTCTTTGAAGATCTTTGGTAATTATTTTGGCTATTTACTTATTTCTTCTAAAATTAAAAGCAAAATGAGCATTGAAAAATAAAAAGCAAATAATATTTTCAAAGAATAAAAAATTTAAACAATATATTTTCTTCAACTTAAAACACATAATTTTACTTTCATATTAAATAAAGATTTATGATTCAATGAATGTAATTTTGGATGTATATTTTAATATATTTATAAGTCTATATAAATCTAAGAAACTTGTACCTTGTAGATGATTCAATAAGAAACTAAACTTGTCATTGATGACATGATCCTCTCTCATCAGATATCATTTAGATTGCCAACAATATCCCAAATCATGATAAGACCAATATCATAAAGACCTTTCAACAAATGCTTTTATAAACATGGATATAGAAAAATGATATGTTTAAAAGCTATACACACATCAATTGTTTGAGAAGGAAAAGATGCATTCAGAATGAAACCACTAACATATTAATTTAGATTAAGTTTCAAGATAATGGAGACTTACATTTTTATTCATAGATTCAAAAATCTCAAATAAAAGTGTGCTAAGCTCTATAAAAGGTTTAGCATTGCTTATATATGTCAATTATCAAATATATACATAATACAAAATTTATGAGAATTGAATCCTATAATATAAAAAACCTTCACGAGACATTTTGACAAAACACTTCTAACTCATAAAAAATTAATAGACAAAAAGCTACAAAAATGGTGCTCTAAAAAAATTTTACACCTTGTATTCTCAACTTGATGTAAACATAAGAACATTCTATAAACAGTAAAATATCTTAGCATCTTAGCAAAAATTTTTGTTCAAATATCTTCAAGCTAATCTTAAGTATGAAAAAATAGTTTTTCTTTATATGAGCAAATTTGTTTTAAAGAAAATAATTAAAGGCTTTTATATTTATATGTATCTCACTTTTGAAATACCTTCAAAAAGGAAGAGCCATAGAAGCTCAACATTAATAAATTAAGGCTCACATCCCATATTCCATGCAAATGTCTAGTATTAGTCTCCCGACGCAAAGAAACCATGAAAACATCTCACAGCCCATGAATAAACAATAACACCATGAGACATTTTGACGAACATGTTGATCTAAACCTTGTAAGTGCAATAATCATATGTCAGACATGTAATGTAATAACAAGAAAATTGAAGCACTAAAATCCAACATGAGGAAAAAAAATTCTAAGAGCAACTATTTAAAATAAGAAACATAGTGGGATAAATACTCAAATTTTGTATTTACGCTATTAGTAGTAGCAATTGTAGTCTTCCTCCATATCTTGTCAAAGTCTTCCTTAACTCTTCCCATAAATGCAAGTGTAACTTAATAGCAAGCAAATTCAACCATAACTACAACGACTGTAATAGAAAGTTCATTTGATAAAAGCGAGCACATGAAACATATGTTAAAGAAATCAAGATTCATGGAAATAAAGAAAGTAATAAAAAATAATATTTTTAATCACATTACTTCTAATCATTAAAAGCCGAATTAGATATACAATAGCACTCATTTCAAGAATTTCAAGATATGCAATGGGACCAAAAAAATCTAAAACACGTGCTTAAAAGCATAATAAACTCAAAATCTAAACTACTTGACCATAACAGTTTCTTCATTAATTAAGCTAATGCATATGTAAAAACTATTGATAAATAATGCAAATTAATATTCTATCATTTTCTTTCTTAAACAATGTTTATATACATATATACATATATAGAAAATTTTCATTCTTGCACTTAACATAGAGTGTAAAAGCTTAAAATAAAGTAATAACAAAGCTATTAAAAATATAAAATCTAAAATCAAGTCATATGCAGCCATTAAATTTTACAAACGATATCTTTCATCTAAAAAAGACATCTCAAGCCTAAAATTTGCATCACTTAATTATAATTTTCAAACTACGTAAAAGCACTTTTAAAGGCAACATGACATTATTAATTGAAAAGCATTTTCAAACCTTGGTATACATTACTGAGTTAAAATTAATTCCAAAAGTCATTAAACTAAAACTTATCTAGCTCAAGTGCAAATTAAAACTCACTCAAATTAAACTCACAAAAAAACAAACTTACAAAACTAAATATCCTAATCTTTTTTTATCATTTCCATTGCATGATAAATGTTGTTTCTAATTATTGGCACATTTCCAATGCCCCAATCTAATTCCTTTCAAAGTTTTTTTTTTTCTGTGATAAATAAGCAAAACAAAAGAAAAAAAATGATGTATTCCACCAACCACCATGGCACCACGTGATCAGAAATGAAAGAAAAAAAAAAGAAAAAAATAAAATAAGATGTATGTGACTCACCTATCCATCACCCACCACTACATCAATTATCTAATTCCTTTTTCAAGTAAATGAGCCTACCTTGGAGTCTTCAACATCATGGTGCAATTTTCAATCATTACACAATACATATAGTCAAATACATGTATAGACAGAACTGCAGAAGAAACAATTATGTTTTACATTATCAAGTATGGAAATGTACAAGTCATTCATGTAGATAAAGGTAAATACTTAAAACCCTGGAAATTTATGTCAGCAGTAGAAGCGATTGCAGTAGTTCTTTAGAAGAGTTGGCACCAACTTGCGATATGGAGAAAGCTAATAAAAAATGTAGTTCAAATGTAGTCAAGCTACTAAAAAGAAAGAAGAAAAGAGCCCATTAAAAAAAAAAAAGATTGCAAGGTTAATTAAACTAATGTTGTGGCCAAAAAAATTAAATTGAAGTTGATAATATAAAGAAACAATAGTTTATGATATCTTTTTTTGGAAAAAAAATTTATGTGATTAACAGCTATGCAATACCACATAAGCTTAATAGAACAATAACAATTATAGGTGAAAGATTTATTAATATAAATACTTGTCATAACATATAGATCCGTAAATCTATAGCTAAACTTAATAAAATAGATGAGTAGCCACCGATCTTTTTTAACTATGTGTGATTGGCCACCTAAAGAATCTATTATTTTAAGGAGCTCCTAAGCTTGACTAAGGGTGTCTAAAAAAATAGGTTCGGGTCTACTAACCACAACGGGGTTCAGTTACATGTGGAGAATGTTATAGCACCTCCACATGCCTATCCAAAGGATGGTACCATTTTATTTTAAATTTATCTTATTGTTTTAATTCTAATGGTTTCAAATTTATTGTTTAAATATTAGAAATAATTTTTAAGACTCTCCATCAATCTGGTAGAATTCTTTAAAAATATTTTCTCACTTCAAGAATATTCAAAAATCGTATTTGATTTCTTAAAGAGGCTCCGTCATCTAAAAATTTTTATTTATTTTTTTTGTCGAAAATATATCTAATTATTCTACCATTTGGGTCAAATTAGAAATATTTTCTTTTTTTTTAATTTCTAAATTTTTCACCATTTGAGCCTATCTAGAAATTCTTTTTATGTTTTTTTTATCTCTAAATTTTTCACTATTTGGGCCTATTTAGAAATTCTTTTTTTTTTTGAAAGAAAATAATGACAATTATTTTTATTGAAATTTCATTTAAATTATTCTACCATTTGGGACAAATTTAAAGAAATTTTCTCACTTAGAGATTTCTTAGAAATTTACCATTTGAAAATTTTAAGAATATCATCCTTGGATAATTACCAAATATTTTCAACCCAAATTTGGGACAAATTTAAAGAAATTTTCTCACCTAGAGATTTCTTAGAAATTTACCATTTGAAATTTCTAAGAATCTCATCCTTGGATAATTATCAAATATTTTCAACCTAAATTTTATTTTTTTAATTTTTTTGTTTAAAAATAAATATTAATTATTGAACTTTATTGAAACTTTATTTAAATTATTCCATCATTTGGGATAAATTTAGACAAATTTTTCGCTTAGGAATTTTATAGAAATTTACCATTTGAAATTTCTATAAATTCCATTATTGGATAATTAATATTTATTCCCAAAATTTATTTTTTTTTAATTTTTTTCAAATTTAATCATGCAAAAACACTCCTAAAAATAAATAAACACATAATAAAAACAAATAAAAAATAAAATAAAAAAACCAAAAAATGAAACAGCTCGGTTCATGGGATTTGGCACGACTCGACTCCAAGCACAAAAATGGCTTGAGGGACAGACTTGGTGGTTCAGCTCAGCTCCAAGGATCAGCTGATACGTGGGTCAAAAGCGGGTCGCGCTGTAAGTCAGGTCGTTTAGATAAAAAACGCGCGGATCCTAGGTCTTACTAAACTCTAAAATGGCGTCGTTTTGGTGACGCTATAAAGGTTGAGTTTCAGCTCTTCCTCTC